AAAATTGCAGAAAGCTTCTTAAAACCTTACTAAATTCCAGAAACATCCCACAAAACCCCTACAAATTTCCACAAAATCTAAAAAAAACCTCAAATTGTTCATGTCACCTCAAAATCCCTCAAAATTCCACAAAACTCCCACAAAATCACCCCAATATCCTACAAAATCTTAGAAAAATTCCAAAAATTGAAGAAAAATACTACAAAATTCATTAAACGTTCTCAAAACCCCACCAAATTCCAGAAACATCCCACAATATCCCCACAAATTTCCACAAAATCTAAAAAAATCCCTCAACATTCTTCATGTCTCCTCAAAATCCCACAAAAGAACAGAAAATTCCACAACAGTAAAAAAAAATCCCACAAAATTCCAGAAACATCCTACCAAATCTCCACAAAATTCCACAAAATCTAACAAAAATCCTCCACAATTCTTCACGTCTCCTCAAAATCACACCAAGTTTCCAGAAAAAACTCCAACACAATTGCAGAAAGATTCTCAAAACCCTACCAAATTCCAGTAAAATCCCACAATATCCCCACAAATTTCCACAAAATCAAAAAAAATACCTCAAAATACTTCATGTCCCCTCAAAATCCCAAAAAATACCAGAAAATTCCGCAACATTACAAAAAAATTCCACAAAATTCCAGAAACATCCTACCAAATCTCCACAAAATTTCATAAAATCTAAGAAAATCCCTAACCATTCTTCACGTCTCCTCAAAATCACACCAAGTTTCCAGAAAAAACTCCCAACAGAATTGCAGAAAGCTTCTTAAAAACCTACCAAATTCCAGAAACATCCCACAAAACCCCTACAAATTTCCACAAAATCTAAGAAAATACCTCAAAACCCTTCATGACTCCTCAAAATCCCTCAAAATTCCACAAAACTCCCACAAAATCACACCAATATCCTATAAAATCTAAGAAAAATCCCCAAAATTGAAGAAAAATCCCATACAATTCCCTAAATGTTCTCAAAACCCCACCAAATTCCAGAAACATCCTACCAAATATCCCCACACATTTCCACAAAATCTAAGAAAATACCTCAAAATTCTTCATGTCTCCTCAAAATCCTACAAAATAACAGAAAATTCCACAACAGTAAAAAAAAATCCCACAAAATTCCAGAAACATCCCAACAAATCTCCACAAAATTTTCACAAAATTTCAGAAAAATCTCTCGCAATTCTTCAAGTTGCTACAAAATCCCTCAAGATTCTACAAACATCCCACAAAATCACCCCAATATCCTACAAAATTCAATAAAAATCCCACCAAATTGCAGAAAAATCCCATACAATTCCCATTAAATGTTCTCAAAACCCCACCAAATTCCAGAAACATCCCACAATATCCCCACACATTTCCACAAAATCTAAGAAAATACCTCAAAATCCTTCATGTCTCCTCAAAATCCTACAAAATAACAGAAAATTCCACAACAGTACTGTCCTGGGGTGACTTTATGATACTGGTATTTTTGCGGGTGACCAGGTAAAGAGGGCTCACAATGGTAGAAGCCACCACTGGATGGTTGGAAACCTACCCTGTGCCTCATGCTACAGCCCGTAACTCCATCCTGGGACTTGAAAAGCAGGTCCTTTGGAGGCATGGTACCCCTGAGAGGATTGAGTCAGACAATGGGACTCATTTCAAGAACAGCCTTATAAACAGCTGGGCTAGGGAACATGGCATTGAGTGGGTGTACCATATCCCTTACCATGCACCTGCTGCAGGAAAAGTGGAGAGGTACAATGGACTGTTAAAGACTACCTTGAAAGCGTTGGGTGAGGGATCTTTCAAAAATTAGGAGCAGCATCTAGCAAAAGACACCTGGTTAGTTAACACCCGAGGTTCCACCAATCGAGCAGGCCCAGCCCAATCCGAGCCCCTGCATAAAGTAGACGGAGACAAGGTCCCAGCAGTACATCTCAGAGGTTTGTTAGGAAAGACAGTTTGGATCAATTCTACTTCGAGTACAGACAAACCCATTTGTGGAGCTGTTTTTGCTCAAGGACCGGGTTGCACATGGTGGATAATGAGGAAAGATAGAACAACACAATGTGTACCTCAGGGAGATCTGATGGTTGGGTGAAGATTATGAATAGATGCCCTTGTCCGTATATAATGTATGTGTTGTAGGGTTAAAATATATATATATATTAATTTTGATAATAAGTTGACGATATGGGGATAAGGGGTGGAATGTCCTGGGGTGACTTTATGATACTGGTATCCCCAATCGTCCGGTTTATGTTATATATTAAGTCCTGCACCTTTAAGACTGGCTTTGAGAGCAAGAGAGGGGGAAGAAGAAGCGCGCAGTGTGTTAAGGAAAACATCACTCCCACACACCCCGCTCCTGGATTGTGTTGTCTGCAGCACGGACAGACAGCGGGACAGAGCTTCTCTCTGATTTTTAGTTAGTTTTAGCTAGCTGAGGCAGAGGAGTTCCCTGGACCCTTGTTTTTTTCAATTTTCTTGGATCTGTGCAAGCCTGCTCTGGACTGAACACCCAGCCAAAGCCCGGGAGCTCACGCCTGTGGCCCACCAGGGCCTGGGCCTCGGCACTTTTCCAGCGCTGGAGGGACTGATAAGAACCTGAGCGAGCCGAGCTGCACCACATGAAAAAAGATTTTTCTTCCTAGACTTACCATCCCATTGAACAGCAAGAGGTTTTATTATTTAATATTACTCAATTTCTGTTAAATAAACAGCTTTTTCCACTTCTCTCCACGGAATTTTTTTTTTCCCTTTTCCCGGACCCGTTGGTGGGGAGGGGCATTTCCCTGTGGAGATCCCCATTTGGAGTTGTCGCCAGAGGTCGGGGATTACCGGAGCCGCGGAAGACAAGCCTCATGCTATCATGGTCAGCAAGTCTCAGTTTATTGAAATCTTATGCACAACTTATAATGCTTTTAATTAGTTTATACATATTGCAAAAACTCAGCTCATTATTGGTCTGCTACCATTGACGCCTATTGTTCTTTGTGGTTGGCCTTGCAGTTACCAGTTCCTTATCTTCAGTTTGCAGTTCTGCATATTTTGGCAGTTTCGACATCTTGTAATCTATGTAACTCTCTCTTCAGGGACATACTGACCCTGAGGCTTCATACTTTAACTAATCTTACAGTATCATGTCCTTTTTCTCTTAGCCATTCTTCTGTCAGGCTCTCTACACTTCCCCCATTTTCTTTAATGGTCAGCATAGACAATCGGTGGTTTTCAAACATTGTCATTACCGTACGCTGCAAACATTGCATTAAACAGGGTAAGATAATCATGATGGCCAGAATTACAAGAAGAATGACTAACCCCATCTGTACTAAATTTTTCAACCACCCCGTTATGCCTAGGGACTGCAACCATCCATCTATTCCCAATCCTTCTTGTACCCTCAAATGTGTAGTCAAATCTTGCAACTTCTTAATTTGTGGATGTATAGAAACAGAATGATCAGATATATTCATACAACACATCCCTTCAAATTCATCGCAACCGTGTCCTTGCGCTAACAACAAAAAATCAATAGCAGCTCTATTTTGAAGCGTAGCATGCCTAATTGAATCTACATCAAGCAAAAGATTGGACAAAGCTTGCGATGTGGCATTAGTTTGTCTTGCAAGCCAACATCTCATTTTCCTCAATGTGCTCAAGGCTTGTGCGGTCCCAATACCATGGACAAGGGACCCGAAAACTGTCTGCACTGGGCTCCAAAAGTCTGCATTACCATCACAATCCTTGGCAAAGGCATGAACAAACCTTCTCTCTCTATGCTTTCGATATTGGTGCAGGATCATTGATGTATTGGGTGTTAAGAGAGTCAATCGGCCTAGCGTGCAAGGACCGCCTTCCATTCGTGAAGGGATCCCTGCCCAAGCTCGATCTCCACATATTAGAAACACACCGTCTGGCAGCCTGATAGGCGTGTTAGAGGATCTTGAGATGTTCTGCGTGGTGTAATTACACCATGCTGAGTTATTTCTATATATCGACAGAGATGAGTTAACATTAATGGGCAATGACTTATTAGGTCCTACTCCTCGAGAAACACTTGTCCAATTAAACCTTAAACAAACCTTAAACATCTGCTAATATGGATCCTAAAATCTCAAGCTCTTGTGGCTCAATTGCTAATGTAGGAAAATGGGGCATAATTTGGTCCCACTGATCTACATTGCCCTGGGGATTAGTGGAGTTACAGTTGTGTGCTGATGATGGACAAGGCCAATTATCTAGAGGAATGCCTACAAGACAAGTGGAAAAAGGATTGCCTGGGGAGCTTAGGGCTAAACATATTGCTTCTTGGCCAGTTTTGTTAGCCAGCGTAACCCAAATATTTTCTTTGGGTTGTGCTGGTACATAGACACAATTAATCAATGGTAGCGTCGCAAGCACAAGCAAAAGCCATATCATAATGTTCTGTCGTTTAAAGGATCGCAACATTTGATCAGTGGCTTTTTTGATGGGGCCTGCAACGTCGATCAAAACGACGGCAGGTATGGTCCCAACGATCTGGAGAAACTTGCCAATTTGTCGGGATCCGAACATCTTTTCCACAAACAGTATCAAGAATTGCAGAGTTGCTATCTGCGATGACACGGTCTACTGTGTGTTTCACTCTCCAAACCAGCTCCCTGAGATGTAAATCTCCCTGTTCTCAATCTTTTGGACCGCGGTTCCAAATGGTTCTCCCACTAAGTCAACTAATGCTCTCTGGGGGGAGGCCCTCT